CATCAACAAAACTCTTTATTCTTGTCAAACCTCCTGGACACCATTGGCCTTCCTGCCAAATATATTTTCTCTCATTGCCTTCTTCTTCATAATCAGCCCAGTCTTGGTCAACAACTCTTTTTCCCAGCCGATTATGAACACTTCCATTTTTTAAGCGCTGATCCATGTTATTATGATATGCATCTTGAGCATGGACAGACCGGCGGTTGGTTTGAGATTGCCTAAACTCCCAATATTGATTGCTACATTCTGGACAGTCATATTTGGTAGGCAACTTTAAACCTTCATTCCAGCAATGTCTGAAGAAAGGGCAATTCCAATGTGATTCGGTTTGTTTCCCTTCATGCCTCTCTTTCTCCAGTTGACACTGGTATTCTTGATCCTTTAACCAACGCTGATAATCCTTTTCCTTCTGCCGCTGCCACTTATTCAATAGGATCCAAGATGTAACTCGTGGCTTTGTCACCCCATCTTTTGACGTTTCCCCCTGCTCATATCGGCTCTTTTGCTTAGCGCGACGTCTTCTAATATCTCTGTACTCGTTAGTCGATATTTGCATCTTGGAATCGACTGTTCTAGCTTCTCTTGATTTGGCTGATGTTAGGACCTTAGTCTTCCCTTTGAGCAGCCTAGCATCAACCATGTTTTGATCTCCTAGGAAAGGATTATCATCAACTTTCATTTTTTGAGGCGTATCAAATTTGAGCCTTCCTTACTAAATAGCCCTCTGTATATGCTGCCGGAAAATTCTGCATTCACTTGTGGAATGAGAAGTAGCGTTATGGAACTTGTAGAACTTCTTATTCTTCAACTGATCAGGGGGTAACATAACATGCTTATCGGGCAACTTGATATGTCCCTTCTCAAGCAAGAAATCGAAGAGCTTGTCTGATTTTGTGACATCAAAGTCAGAGTTCTCCTCGATTCCTCTTCCCCAAGGATTTGGCACCATTACTATCTTTTTACCCCAATTCCATTCAGCCGCAGCAACCTCTTCATCTTCATCTTCATAGCCATCATCGACTGAGTATGGATTATAAGCTTCGGCCACTGTGGTACTCTTCTGGAATCGAGTGTCCCTACGCATACTCAGGAATTGGCTATTGAGCGCTGCCACTCGTTGAGCCAATTGACCCAAGTTATCAAATTCTTGTCCCAGCAATTTCTCTTTCCACATTGGCAGCATTCCTTGAATGGCTAAAGCAGCTAGTTGATCATCAGCCAAGTTTAATGAGAAGCACAAATTTCTAGTCTCTCGGAACCTCTGAAGAAACTCAGTGCCCGATTCATTAGTATTTTGCCTTATAGTTGTCAGATTGGTAATCTTCTTTTCTCTAGTCCTAGTATAAAAATATGTATGAAATTTCTTCTCGAGGTTAGCCCAGTTGGTAATGGAGTTGACTGGCAATGATGAAAACCAAGTGAAGGCTAGCCCTGACAGCGACAAGGAGAAGAAACAAACTCGACGGGCCTCCTCAACTGATGCCTCATCCAATTGTGTAAGATACCGACTGACATGTTCTATCGTGCTCGTACTGTCTTGGCCAGTGAACTTAGCAAACTCTAGAAGCCTGTAATTTGTAGGAAGAGCGACCAAATAATACCATTCTGGGTATGGGCGTTTGTACGAAAAGGTCAGCTCTTTTGGCTTCAGACCGAACTGATTCTTCATCATAAGAATAAATCAGTTAAAGCTCATGAGGTTGTGTAAGAAGAATCGATTGTAGTTCAGGATGGATCTCATTATTTATACCAACATTAGTCAATGGCACAAAGATATCAACAATGATTAATTTATTCTAAGCCAATGTATGCAAGTAACCGAACCCCTTTTTATGAAAGAAACAGCTCATCATCATTCAACCATTTAATAAAGATAAATCTAATGAACATATTAGATCTCATCTATCGCTATGACCAGTGGGGCATAAGGCAGAATCATGCAGGCCATAGAAACAACAATAGACTCGACGACCCTAACTTATTACTAATACCAGTGGGGCATGAGGCAGAATCATGCAGGCCGTAATACAATAATAAGATCATGGGGCTAACACATCTTTCAACCTATCTTTACTTCAACGATCTCGTGACGTGAACTGTTCGTGAAAGCGCTCGATATCGGCTAAAACAGCCGATTCAGGCATAGCGCACATTTAAGGTCATGCCCTATCAGGAACAGATCTATCAAATAATGATCTCCACTCCACGGTGCTAATAGTGGGTGTGAGGCAGAATCACACAGACCGTGATAACGGGTCATGAAATGGTTTTTGCTAACCAATAGATCCACTCATTATCAGACATGCCTTAATTGCACGCTATACACGATCAAGATTGATGTAAAACAGCCGATAAAACATAACTCGTCGTTTAAAGTGCAGATTAGATCAGTTTAAAATAACAAATAATGGGTTAAACAAGATATAAGGCCGATCTAGATCAATCCCAATCGGGCGAAGTGATATTGCTGTAATTAAATAAATAATAAAAGCAATAAGCAATATCGGTAACTTAATGAATCTATCCGAAGGAACGTCACTCTTAGATAGAGCCAATAACTTGACCTTAATCTAGTTCGAGCAGTGGAGGTCGACCGGATCGATGCAGCCGTACTTGAACTAGACAAGAGTCGATAACTAGCTTATACCAGAGTCGCAGTAGAGGTCGACCGGATCGATGCAGCTGTACGAACAGAAGTATAAGCCATGACGGAACTTACAGACAAGTAGTGGAGGTCGACCAGATCGATGCAGCCGTACTTACTGAAGAACTCACCGAGATCTACTCTACTCCTACTCCTACTCCTAATGGGTGGCCGGAGCCGAAAAAAGTAAATAACTTGTATTGGAGTGTTTTTTACAAAAGCCGGGGTTTGATATTTATACCCGGGACCTACGCATGACTCCTATCTAAGCACGACTCATCATAATCTTTGGCCCTAAGAGAAAACATTCCTAATTTAAGATAACTTGGGCTCTAATATTTCTCTTTTTGTAGAGTCCAACATGCTTCGTTCCGGCGCCGATCGTAGCCTATGTCGTTATCCGCTGGCGCTACCTGAAGAAAATCGATTCTAGTGTTGCATTCAAATCAGTTGGTTCCGATCTGTATGCAATTGATTCCTTGATGACATGATCTTGGGAGCTTTCGAGTCCCTACGACTCTTCTTCCAAATTTTGGTGTAAACACTTTCCTTGGGCCAAAAGTAATATGGTGGCCTAGTGGAAGACATTAGGAATACTTAGACTTGTCTCCAATCAACTTCATTAATCTTTCATGCTTTCCATATGCAATCAAATGTACCTTTAATCCATGTAAGTAATTTGAAAAGAAAAATATACAGACTTCATGGTGCAACATCAATCCATAAAATCTACCAAATATAAACTTCATATAAAATAGTTGCACCTTTGGTTTAGAAGTGGTTAATATATTGATATGTAAGCCCGTGATACCCTTATAATCGAAGGTGCTCATAGGGGTAGGATTTACGTACGTGTGTTCATAGGGATGAGTGTGCATGCGGGTTGTGGGCGTCTACGTTATACTGTGTAATTCTAAAAAAAGAGCAACCCTTACATTTGCATGTAATAAATATTAATAAAATATACTAAAATATCACATCTAAATTACCAATTATGAAAATATGTATCAAATTATTTACTTATGTTACTATTATTATATAACGAACTAACTTAAAGTAAACATGCATGTTATGCCATCATATATACAAATCAAGCGATACAAAGATATATTTGTATGTCTTAGCAATCACAAAAGGACATTTTCTTAAAATGAATCATACACCAATGATTCTAACAATTTGTTTAAAGTTATTAATATCCTTGAAAATAATTAATTCAAGCTATTACTTTAGACAATTTTATCAATTTTGACCGAAACATTGTGACACATCCCCATATAGTATAATACTCCTAGTAATAAGCATTCTAAAATTCAATAGATCAATGATGGACATGGACTTCTTCCTCGTTTTAAAAATTTCTTTGCAGTGTAGTCTAGAACCTAATATCTTTATTTCCTATAGAATTCAAAGGGATAGCTATGAATAATAAGTATATAAAGCAGAAGAGTTTGAACATAATGTGTCCATAATAAGAATGTATAACAATGAATAAGATTAATGGTCAAAGTTTAGAACCATGACATCACGAGACATGGGTTTCAACCAAAGCCACCATAACTTACGCTAAAGTTTTAACTTAATGCATATGTGTTTCGTGACCATCCTCCTCAAGCTAGCAATCGGTACATGTCTTTTTCTAAAAATAAAAATATAGTCGGTACATGCACATATATTCTTTAGCCATCAATTAGATCTGACGAAAGATTTTTTTAATCTAAAAAGTTTTCTTATATATTTAGCTTATTTTACAAAATAAAAAAAAATAAACAAATATATATTTCAACTATTACATTCTATGAGGTAACATGTAATCATAACCAATCAATCTAATTAAATGAGCGGTTCACAGTTATTTGGGAGTACCACACCAAAGCTCCTAATTGTTAGGAATAGGAGACCCAAAGTGCGTAATTCTGTCTTTAGAAGGTGGAATGAGGATGGCATTTTATTTTTAGTTTTTGACCATTCCAATTGTGTGTTCATAGTTAATGAAAAATATCCGATATATAATTTTTTTGATTTATTGTATTTCTAGCCATTCAAATCCACCTTATATTTATTTTGTAGCAATAGCAATACTCTCTAAATTAAATTTCAGACAACAAACGACAGCTCATCACCTATCTAGAAGTTTTATTAGTTTTTGTTTTAAAAGTGGTCGCAACGGTCACAAATCTACCAACAGTCACAAAAGCCACCAACTCCAACGGTCACAAAGCCATCAACGGTCATAATCATTCTATGGTTCTTATAAATTCCCTACATTTCTTGACATACTTCTTTGAACCAATATCCCATATCTCCTCATTCAACACTACCACCATAAAAGTGCTATTTGTCGCAAATAAGTATGTCAGAGAAATTAAGTGATATGGGTGAGGCGCAAACTACCAAGGTTGGTAATCAGGTTGGCAATGAACAAAGAAACAACGAGAATTCCAAAGCGATAGAGAAAAAAAATGCTTTAAGTGATATTTCCATAGGCGATGTGCAGACAATCATGGATGGTAGCCAAGATATTAATAAGGTAACAAATGACAAGAAATTTGAAGCGATAGAGCAAGAACATGCTCAGCCTTTATCTCATGTTATGGCCGGAGATGAAAGCCCACCCAAGAAAGGATTGTCCATTCTCAAAGATATAGTGCACACAGAGAACAAGGGAGTGGCAAGTCGAACAAGATGCCATTCCAAATCAAAATTGGTGGCCAAGGATCGCAAGATTGGGACAATCAGCTGTCCTATTGATTCTAATGATATCATAGACATGGACTCTATTGATTGCAATGATATCATAGAGTTGGACTTTGATAAAGAAGAGGCAAACACCAATGTCACTGCTGGTAATTCTAGCCTTTTCTTGCATTTTATGTTTTTTTAAGGAGATATGCCTAGACATTTCATACCTTGGTCTGCTTCTTAGAAGTTAATTTTGTCATTGACATAAAAACATATACCCATGGTATTGGTTGGTCAGTGCGTGCATGTATATACGTTCACACTTTGTTCAAATATTGTATAGCAATATATACAAATTATCACATGTTTCATAGAGAATAGATTACTAGATAAAGTGAATAGTTTGTTGCGGGTACAAAACCAGAATAGGAGGGAGGACTATAACAAACTAGTATAGTGCCCGTACTAACGTCATGTCATTTCAGGGATGCACATGAAAACTTTAATTTTATATATAAACATTAATCAAAAAGTTAGGCTTGGCACTGTTGATGAAACTTGAAATTTATATATACACATTAATCCAAAAATTATATATACGCATGATATAATCTTATGAACAGTTCTACGCTTCCTCTGATTCCAAATCTGATAGTGAAGATGTCAATGAGCGCCTTGCCACTGGCCCACTGTTGATGAAACTTGATGATGACAACCTTCGGTGAAGACTCCCTCAAGTTGCTCAGCACAATGCATCTGTGGTGTTGACCATTGCCCTATTCGTTTGGCTGATAAGCCATGACTGAAAGTACTGTTGGCTGATTTGTTGTGAGAGAAAAATATTATTCGTTGGCTGAAAAAGTACGGCTTATAAGCCAAGCGAACAGGGCGCATAGCGAGCATTCCTATATTTCTTGATGAGAAATATGATTTGTAGCATGAGAACTTAGTAAAATAACTCTTGTCAGGATAAAAACAAGTTTATGCGAGCTAAGAAAATAGTATATTGTCCGCGCTAACACTACGGGGCCACATTAAATTCAAAGTTAATTCTATAAAATTTGAAGTAGACATGCACGTGCGACACGCACATGTATAATATTTCATATGCAATGGAAGAATAACTACTATTTTTCTTGCATTAAAATATGCATACAAAAAATGAAGCATCACAAACAACTTGTAGTAGGATAGCAGCCAATAAAAATTCAAAAATTCGACATGAATTGTCTTTAAAAAGGATTACAATATAATTATAGTGTCATATAGAAAGATTAAATTTTCTAAAGCATTGAATCATGACCTGAATATATACAAGTGCATCTTGAACTTTATTTTAACCTTAAATGAGCTCATTTAAAACAAAGAGAATTTCAAAATGGCACGATTACGGTCTATGGATCAGTTTCGTGAATTTTCATTTGATTTCACAGATCAAAATGGCAAAAGTACCCAAGCATCTAGATCACTTGTTTGCATTTCAGAAACATCATCCCAAGTCCTAGCTCTTTCACTGTTACCATCTTGCACATAGAGAAGAGAAAAGAATACTGACTGCATGTCCATTCCATTTCCTAGTGACTTCTTGTGCAGCCAGCCACAGCCCAAAAGCGAATCATTTTAGGAGGCCTGTGTATGCTCAATTAAGACTGTGTATTAGACAGCAAGTACCAATTAATTAAGAGGGAAAACACTCAAGAATGGACAAAGATGCGGTGAATATTTAGGTAAAAGGAAATGTTAATCACTGCGTTTAAGGTTGTTGGAATAGCTGTAATCCAAAGCTAGCAACTAACTTCAGGTTTTGAAAAGCATATCTTAACAACCTTGAGGAGCCTTGAGGAGCACATTGTCGTTGTAGAAGAGCTGCAGCTTTTCCATGGTGTCAGTCAGGCGGTCCAGTGCGAAGATGGAATTGTCATTGCCGGCCTCCTTGACAAAAATAGATTCCGTGACTTCTTCCCGTCCAAGACGTCCGTCAGGTAGTTCTTTTAGAAAACAATCTCTGAAATTTGTTATGTCAGTCCCAAATGCCTATTTTCAATGCACAAAGGTTTAGTCCTATGCGATTTATTATGTTAGTCAAACATAGTGTATGCAATGTAATTCGGCTAAGTTGTGGCTTTTAATTGGGTTAATTGGATTGGTGCCATTATAATTCTCGCGTTTCTTAGAAATACCATTACTATTAGTCTTATTGTAAGTGAAAGGATCAAGATGCCCAAGAGAGGGGGTGAATTGGGCTAATTCTAAAATTCTTTGCAATAATTAAATCCTACACTTAGTCCACTTCACCCCTTGTGCCTAGAATGTGTTCATATTGATCTATCGCACAAAAGTTTTGCACGCTAGGTTCCAATCCTACTCTAGCATGGCAATTCTAAGAATGTAAAGATAAGAATTGAATTGCTCAGATGTAAATGCTTAAAGTAAAGAGAGGAGAAGGAACGCGGCGATGTTTTGCCGAGGTACCGGAGAGTCGCCACTCTCCACTAGTCCTCGATGGAGCACCCGTGCAAGGGTGTAGCTCCCCCTTGATCCGCGCAAGGATCAAGTGCTCTCAACGGGTTGATTCTTCGACACTCCATCGTGGTGAATCACCCACAACCGCTCACAACTTGAGTTGGGTCATCCATAAGCTCCGCCGGATGATCACCAAATTCCCGATCACCACCAAGCCATCTAGGTGATGGCGATCACCAAGAGTAACAAGCACGAACTCTCACTTGACCACAACAAACCTAATGAGAAAGATGGATGCACACTTGCTACTCATCTTGCACTAATGAGGCCTTCATCTTGGATTCTCAAATCTCAATCACCTCACTAGGCTGTTGCTCTCCTTAGCACTCTCAAGGGTGTTTCTCAGCTGAACAAATGGGCAAGAGACCTCCTTTGGATGAATAGAGGAAGTATTTATACCCCTCATTCAAAATGAACCGTTAGGACGTTGAGTCAGCACTCTACGGGGTGACCGGATGCTCCGATTAAGGTGACCGGACGCTCCGGTCAGTTGTCCCTGCCACAGAGCCGTTAAGTTGTGACCGGACTCTGACCTACGTCCGGTTAGCATTGACCGGACTCGTCCGGTCACAAAAACTGTTCTCTAGAACCTTACTAATGTTGATTGAACGCTGGCGCCCAGAGTCCGTTCACTTCGTTGTTCAGCGTCCGGTCAGTTATCGGATCCTGACCAGCGTCCGGTCAGCACTGATCGGACGCGTCCGATCAGGAATTACCCTCTCTAGAGTTGACCGGACTCTGGCACCTAGCGTCCGGTCACATTTCACTCAGCGTCTGGTCGCAACCAGACGGCTCCAGTTGATCATATGAACTGACCTGACTCACCCTTCTGCATCCGGTCACTACCAGACCAGCGTCCGGTCAGTCATTTGACCCTCCATTCACTTCCAACTTGAAATCATATGTGAATGAAGTTTGCTCCAATTAATCTTAGGGCTACTTCGGAGCTACCTAGTGCTAGATTTGACAAGTGTGCACCACACCTAACTCACTAGACTCACCTAGGTCAAGCTACTAGTCCATACCCCCTTAATAGTATGGCCAAAGAAAAAACAAAGTCCTAAACTACTCTAAGTATCTCTTCAACACCAAACGACACTTAGAACTAGTCCATCCTTAAACTTGTCCATCCTTTGAAAACCAAAACAATTTCCATCATAGGGGCATGACAACCATGATTGCCCAATCAATTGCCATTACCATGACCTAACTTACTTGCATCTACAAAACACACGTTAGTCACAGTAATCTCGTATTGTTATTAATCACTGAAACCCAACTAGGGGCCTAGATGCTTTCAATCTCCCCCTTTTTGGTGATTGATGACAATACAACCTCGAGTATGTGTAAGAGATGAGGTTTTCAACATGCTTGGTTCATATAAGCTTTTGACAATAAGAGCAAAGGAGTTAGACACGCTTATATGACCCAAGCCAACATGTTGTACTCAATAGATATGAAATAAGCAAGAGTACAAGAAATAAAGCTCATTTGAATCGGAGTAAAACGTGGAAGCAAACCAAATGACCATAATGAAGTGACATGACATTTATAAAGATCAAAGTAGAGAGTACACATGTCACATATCACATAAATATCACAATCACACGTATGTAGTTCAATGCATGAAAGTAAACGTGAATGCATAATAATGTATCTCACACATAAAATGCCAAAATTAATAAATCATAAGCTCCCCCTAGATATAGCGCTCCCCCTAGATCTAACATACTTGATCCCTCTCCCCCTTTGGCATCAAGCACCAAAACCTAAGGGTCTGTCAGCGGGGCAGGAGCAGACGAATCAGGCGATGAGGTGCGGTGAGCGATCTGAAATGGTGTGGCATCATCCTCTGATCCAGAGCTCTGAGCTATCTGACCCTCTGTCACTAGAAGTGAAGCTGAAGCGGTCTGGGTCTGCTCTAGGACTGGTGTGGCCTATGACTATGTAGGTATCACTGAGGCAGGTGGCTCTGATGATGCAACAGATGAAGGGAGCATCTCTGTAGTCCTAGTAACTGGAGCAACTGTGGAAGATGCAGGGACTCGCAACTCTGGCGGTGTGGGCTGCCCTATCAACTCACTGAATGTAGCACCAAGGCTTCTAGAAACTAAGGTGTCAGTCACAAGCACCGAGGAACTCTGAGCCGGTGTGAAGCCCATCACAATAGGTGTGAAGTGTGGACCCTAGGCTGTCACTGGTGAAGCAAACCACTAGGACACATGCTCTGTAGGTGAAGCAAACTGTGTAGATGGTTGTCCCTGACTCTGAAGCCCACTAGGCTATAAAGCTAGAGTCACTGAAGTGGTGGTAGGCTGGCTGAGCTGAGGTGTAGACGGTGGCGGAGGAACCCCAATAGAGTGACAACATGCTGCATAAATCCAAGTAACTACTGTTGCATCAGGAGCTGCTGCTACTGCATGGCCTGTTGCTGCTGCTATATGGCCTGCTGCTGTCTCTGGAACTCGTCCTATCTAGCCTGAACCTGTGCTAGTGCAGCTGCAGTCTCCTGGGCCTAGCGTGCCTAGTCCTGCCTCATCCGCTCAAGAATAGCAAGAAGAGCAGGTTCTATCTGTGGTGGCTGTGGTGGAGCTGAGCTGGAGGCACCGGCCTCACTGTCATGACGTCGAGGAGGCATATGAGGAATAGCCTGATAGTCATCATCTGAACTATCACTGGGACCGCTCTCGACCATACCCTCCTGCTGTGCATCTAGCTGCTCCTCCTTTGTCGCTGCAATGCCCCTGATGATCTCATCCTGCTGGGCTGCAGTCTCTGGCACCTCTGGGCAACGGTGTGGCTGGCTAGGTGTCCTCGCTCTGCTATGACGGAGCATCTGTGTCATGTTGTATGAAGGGAACTCAGTAGTAGCACTAGTATACTTGGCCATCGTCTCTAGGGACTTCACTGTAACTGCCTTGTGAATCAATAATGTGATTCAGTGAGCATAAGGTAGCTATCTGTGACCTCTGAACCCCTCTACAAGTGTGTCCTCCATCTCTGATAGAATGACATCCCAAATATCAAACACTATCTGTTGCATCAGAGAGTTAACTAGCCACAACTAGATGCGAGTCAATCCCTCGTGATAACCCATCCTTGGGAGCAATGTTCTCCTTATGACAGCATCAAGCAGCCTAGCTATAGGAGTAAGGTCTCTGGGTGTCCTGCTCGACCCCTCGTCGAATGGCTCTATGAAGCA